AGTGGAAAGAATAAAAAGTTTCATTTACTTCCAGTTGAACAGATCTACAACAAATTGAACAAATATGGCTGACTGTTTTTCAGCGATGGGCCTCAACAGAGTAACTAACTGCCAGCAGACAACAGAGAAGGGGGGGAAAGGCTCAGAGCAAGGAGGTGGGGCTCTCTTTGAGTCAGAGGCAGTGTTTGGATTTTTTTAAATGTGGGGGTTGAATGTCTATAAAAGGGATGGGGATTTATGCAGCCCATCCTCTGCCTGTTTAAGGTAAGGATGGGCAACAACCTTCACCCCAGTTGTCGCCCATCATTCCCTTAAACAGCTTGGATCAAAATGACTTAGAGATCATCTCTGTAATAGAATAATGTGGGGGTTGAATGTCTATAAAAGGGATGGGGATTTATGCAGCCCATCCTCTGCCTGTTTAAGGTAAGGATGGGCAACAACCTTCACCCCAGTTGTCGCCCATCATTCCCTTAAACAGCTTGGATCAAAATGACTTAGAGATCATCTCTGTAATAGAATTGTAGTTCAGAGGTTAGAGCATGTTCTTTCAAGTACATTGGATGCACATCACCATGAGGTAGGGCTAGGAGGAAATACCACCTGAAATCTTGGAGAGGCACTGCCAGCCACATTTGATAAGATTAAGTTTGATGAACAAATGGTTTGACTCACTAGAAATAGTGTTCTTTGTTCGAGTCTTCTATGACTTTTTATCAACACTGTGCCAGAGTTCTGTCTGATGAGATATGATTAGATAAGGGCAAGGTGAGGTCTTTTTGGATGTGGTTTTCAAATGGTGAAATGCTCCCCCAAGGAAGCTGTCCTGGTTCCTACAGTTTTGTTCCACTGTATCAAGCTGTTCCTTGGACAGCTTTTTGCTTGGGGCTTCTTTGACTGTATTTAATCCAATGCTGTTGCTAGTATGTCATAGCTGTGCCAATGGCAGCTTTTGTGGTTTTATTTTTCTGTTTGGATTTTACTGATGTTCGAAGTATTTTACCTTTCTTTAGAAAAAAGTAAAACATTACTGCTGGACAGTTTAAATTTTACTTTGTAAATAAATGTGGCATTAAAAGACATTAAAATGTTTTCTGTCCTTTTCTTTTATCTTCTCTGTACATATTTTTTTACTTATTGGCTAATGGTGCGCCTATAAACTCAACTATATTTTATCATTTATGTAAATTCCAGGTATGCTATCCCTCCAGAACATGGAAAGAGACTTGAACGACTAGCTCAAGGTAAAGTTGTTTAAAACAATCAGAGAAAAACTTTAATATATCAAAGGCATTCAGTTGAACAGTCCTTTAATTTCAGGAAACAAATCGTTGCAGACTATTTGTTTTTCATATATAACGCTATAGCTGAAAATAGACCATAATTTTGAAAATGTGTGTGTTTATTTTCACAGTATTTTTCACTTTTGGCTACATTCAGAATTAATAAAAAGGTTAGGAACTCTTAAAAAGAGAATTTCTGTATGAAAATTAAATATAAACTGCTTCTGGGTGTTGCACTCTTTATACTTGTCTTTGAAAATGCAGTTGGAAATCCTTATCGTGGAGTTTTAGGGAAGAAATCCAATGACATGAAAGTAGACTTCCACTTGAGCAATGAGACTTTCCCTCACTCTCCTCCAACTCATTCTACCAGATTTTATTTCATAGCATCTCTGAACCTCTGAATTGTATAGCAGAGAATGTTGTCTTGTAGTTTCAAGCATAATCATTTGGCAATACAGAGAGGCTGAGAGAGGGGGTGTTACTAGCCATTCCCTTGCCATTCCCCTCCTTCAAAAGCTACCCTTTCCCACTGCTTTCATTCCCATCAGTGTTTTAGTCTCTTGATTATCTGACAAACACCTGTTGTTACAAATGTTTAGTATAATTCATGGAGGAGGGAATTACACTCTGGGTTCAAAGTGATTTAAAGGATCAAGAATGGAAGTGATGAAGTGAGAAATAATTTTTAGAAGAAAAAGTATATAGTTGAGATATTTTAAGATAATTCATATGCTTCCTAAGAGTTAAGTTGAAGATACAACTTATGCTATTGCAATGTAATTCTCTTCAGTCCTGCAACAATTAATAATGCAAGGAAAGTTTAAATTTTAAGAACTGCTAGGGTACACTTACACTATCACTGTGACACTTTAATTATTACGGTTTGAATTCAGAGATTCCTCTGCGCATACATAGTGGACTATTTCTGATGTAGAACTCTGGGTTATTTTCATGTTTCCTGTGCAAATTAAAAATGGTGTTCTAAATGGAGAACTGGACCCGTGGTGCTCCCGATCCAAAGCTTCTGTGCTCTTTTCATATACCACATCAGTGTGCTGATAGAAATTTAGACACTTCAAACATAAGTTATAACCTTCATGTCCCTTTTCTATGAACAGTGTGCTCCTAAGTCTAAGTACCGAATTAGAAAATACAGGTGGTCTAGCAGTCTATGATGTACAACTAAATATCTTGTTATTTTTAAATTATTTTTATTAATTAATTATTTATAAAAACATAATAAAGAAAGCCCTATAAATCTTTTCTAAAAACCTCCTTAATAATCCAGACAACAAACACAAATATACAAAACATGCCCCCCCCGGGGGCCTGTTTGAAGTTCTTCTGATCACATTGTTTCTTTTGTCTAATCTCTGTTTGTCGGAAACACTTCCCTTATTTTATTAGTAACAGAATTTGGGAATGAGGTGTATGTGATTTCCATGCTGTAGTCACCGTCCATAAAGATTACAATGAAAATTTTAAAACAAGCTGTTTTAAAATGATGAAAATGTCACGACAGCCTCACAGCTACAATTTGCATAATCAGCAAAGGTTAATAAACTTGCAGAGTGAATGGATTTCAGACTTAATTACATATTTATATTAAAAATGTTGCACAGAGTTGCAGTATCTAAAAAAAGCTATGAGATGCAGGAGGGTTGGTCCTGCTTACTAGATGCCTACTGAATTAATTGAATTTTCCTAAATAATTAAAATGCTAAAATAATGCAGTAAATGTGGTGAAGCATTGCAGGTTATCTAGGTCAAGTTAGTACTTGATACATAAAATTAAAGGAAGGCTAAGATTTTTTCCATTATCTTGTCTGCCCATCATAATTATCGCATTGCCTTTTATGCATGAATGCTTTCATCTTTGGAATCCATTGAAAACTTGATTGACTATGGCACCTACAAATATTTTATCTGAAAGACATTAGACGTGCATCTAATAAAGGCAGCAGTTTGATTTTGCCCTTCAGGTACTTTCGTATTTATGTAGTTCTTTCAATTTTATGGAGACACAAATGTAATAAAAATCTCAAGTGTGCTGTTATTCCAATTTTGAAGCCAGTTATGTTCTTTTTTAATATTATAGAATTCTTAGAATATTTGACAATATTAAAGTACCTGATAGCAAAATGCAAGGGGAAATGGAACCAAGAACAAAGAGAGTGATATATTGTGTATTATAATTTATATTTTTAAAAGAGATATCTGTAGTTACGTCTACAAATCTGCAACTGAAGCAGATTTAATATATGGATATTGGTAAATAATTAACAATGGTTGAAAAAACCTACTTCATCTGTAAATAGTTATTTTATTTAAAGTGTTTGCTCATTGCTGCTTTGTGCAGGAAGGTCCCCCAAATGATTTTCAGTAAATTAAAAGAACATGCATATGTGAATATGTATGTATTGGGGGTGGGGTTATGCTTCTAACAATTATCTATGGAATTTGTTTCCCTGGGAGTCTTCCGCACGTAATGTATATTGTAGTTTTGTTGATTCTTATTCTTATGCAGTTGTTCTGTGTTATTCACATTTGATCTGTTGATCGTACAAATTAATTAATTAATTAAAAGATGAATAAAAGCATCCAAAAATCAGAATTAAAAGGCTCTTTAAAAATTGTTCATTCGTTCTCTGAAATCCAGTTAAAAACAAAAATAAAAGCAAAGCAAAACATAACGTTAGAAACCAAAGGCCATTTATAACAATACTATTTCAGCTGCCTGTCAGAAGCTCAATAGAGATGAAACAAACCTAACATTAGAAGGGAGTTAGAAATACATAAATAAATGTTTGGGAGAAAGGTAGGGAAAACAGGGATCAAAGTGATCCTGCAACACTTTGATCATTTTCTCCCACCTCTTGCTAAGGCCACGGGGCTTAGCAAGAAGAGGCAAAGCAGGGATCAAAGTGATCACACAGTCGTCGCTGTAAGGTTGCTTTGATCCCTTTCCCCCTCCTCTTGCTAAGCCCAGTGGGGCATAGCAAGAGGAGGGAAAGCAGGGATCACAGCAATCCTGCAGCAGCTGAGGGACCCTTTGATCCCTCTTTAATCCCTTTCCTGCTCTTCTTATGCCACGCGGGCATAGGAAGAGGAGGAAAGGGGAACCAAGCCATCTCCCAGCCCCCGGGGTGGGATTCTCTTTGGGCAGGCTTTAGGAAGCCACTAAAGGGAAAATCCTCTCTGCTTATGCTTCTGAGGAACAGCTGATCCATGGGGGCATAAACAGATAGGGAACAAAGGGATGAATATAAAAGGGTTATATTCATAGCTTCATATTTGTTGGGGTCTGTGGACCCCAAGAATATGAAGCAATGAATATCTGATAGATCAGGGATACAGTATTTAACAAATATCCTGATTTGCTTTTATATTCGCCCCCATGTCTTTTATATGTAGCAGGCCACTCTCAAGCCTCTACCCATCCAGGCCTATAAGAGTGTCCACTACTTTTCTTCAAAAACTTGCTGCCACCAACCTATCCTTTAAATCAAAAGGACAAGGGTTTCTTTCAAACAAATAAAAGGTTTATTGATTGGAAGAAATAAAAAGGGTAAATCACTGTTACAAAATTAAGTTGACAATCACTGTTTCTCAGACACTAGTTCACACAGACTTTTCCCTCACTGACAGGCTCTTTCTCACTCTATCAATCACTCTAATCACTCATCTCTCAAACTCTGATCTCCCAAACCTCCACACACACACCTTATATAACCCAGCTCCTCCCACTTCTGCACCACCCTCCGTCCTCTCATTGGCAGAGGTTCCCCTGCCCAGCTGTGACGGACAGGTGAGAGCAGAGCTGAACGCCACAATTACCAATGTCTGTCAGTCTGCCGATAACATGTGTTTGCTATAAGCAGTTTGTTGATTACAGAATTCTATGAGTTGTTCTCCAGCTTCTGACTTTTAGGAAATACTCCATTTGGTTCTGGTTTATTTCCTACTTTTGTGTTTCAGTCAGTTATTATTATCGGCATACCTTGTTTTGGTGTGTGATCAGTTTCTTTCTGAACACTTCTCTATGGAGACAGACCATTTTTGTGGGCCGTACTGTCCTGCATAGTTTAAGAATCTCATTAAATCTAAGCACTTGGTTAATGATCTGTCCATGACAATGAGGTTCTTTTGACATCCCATTCACCCTTTAACCTGGTCAGCAAAAACAGCTAGAATAGGCCCAGCCACATGTATGAAGCCAGATATTAACCGAGACCAGGTCCATAGTTGTCATGGAAGCCATGAAATCTTGAACTGCTATTAATAAGAGGGTCTTCAATAAATGTTTAAAATGTTAAATTTTAAAATTGAATGTTAAAATCCCTCCATATAGTCAGTTTGCTGGTCAACAGTGTCTCCAAGTCAGGGAGTCATTTCAGTCATCATCCAAGTCATTTCAATCAGGGAGACAGTTGGGCAGCAGGCTGGATGGCATACATCAACAGTATCACTCCTATCCTGCTAACCTGTAAGCAAGTATGCCTTCTCAAGTATTGGAGATGGTTCAACCACAATGAGTGTGTGCATGTGTGCGAACTCACAGTAGATCATGGCACCTTCACTATCAGCTTGCTTATCCAGAATCAAATTCTGGATCATATACGTAGTTTTGATTTGCTGATCTGGCAGTGTCTGAAATCTTGTTACTTTGTATAATAAGTCACACTAGAGTAGGCCCATTGAATCAGTGGAGATTTAAAGAGTCAAATCCTTTGCAAATTCCATTTATTGAAATAGATCTATTCTTATTTTAGCATAGTATGTCACAACCAGAGTAGGCCTATTTGAATAAATGGAATATATGGAGGAGCAGTTTCACCAAATCCGTACTGATTCAATGGGCTTATTCAAATATGATTTAATATTCTAAGCAACAGGGTTTCAGCCATAAGAAGTCTCATCTCTCTTCTTCTCATTGGCCTGTTCTAGCTCTACTGACC